AACAATTGGATTTAGTGGACTATATACGAACTACCCTTTGACAGAACGATTGCTTATTGTGTTACAAGTACAGTACTGTATGTTTTTACTAATTATTATTCTCCTTAAACCATGCTTGAACTACTGTGCTGTACGACAGTTTAACGATAATATTGTGTACTGTATTTTCATGTACTGCATAGGCTTAATCTTACAGATAACGTCTGTTATATCATATAGTTGTATTACTAATATATGTTACTGTATATGATTCTGATTGTGTACACATACAAAACCTAACGTATAACAATTTTATTCATTTGCAATCACTATACTAACTATTTTTATCTACTGTATCCAGTTTAATAATACTATAGCAATGACACGATATCTAGAAATGAACTGGAAGGCCACAGATTTGGCGGAAGAGTTTAAATTATTTAAACAGAGAATGGAATTGTGTTTGATCGACAACGAGGTAACAGAAGCAGCTAAACAAGCTATAAAAATCAAAATTGCACTAGGCAACGAAGGGCTTCGAAAAATCAACGCTTCAGGTTTATCAGAAACCGACCAGCAGGATCCCACGAAGATTTAGATTTAGATTTAGGAAATTTTCGACAACCAACTTAAAGTTAAGGTTAACTTTAGAATACATCGCCTTGAACTCATGAGGTATAAACAGAAGACAGATGAAAGCCTAGATGAGTTTGTAAACAGGTGTCGCAGTAAAGCAAAGGAGTGTGACTTAACAGACGATGAGCTGTCTGAACGCTTAATGGAACTGGTCATCGCGACAACCAAAATAGAATCATTCCAGAAAGATCTACTCGAGAAAGCCAAAGGTCACCAGATCGAGCAACTCCTCGAAGATGGACGCAAATATGAAGCCATAGCTGCTGGAAAAGAATGCCTACAAACACTGAGCTCACACACAGTCAACGCCATATCTAAACCACAAAATCCAAGAAAGACGTCATGTGGAAACTGTGGCAGTACACATCCACCACGGAAGTGCCCAGCTTATGCAAGGAATGTGGGACTAAAGGACATTGGGCAAATGTATGCCGAAAGTCAAGGTTCACCCGAGATGGGAGAAACAAACACAATCACCAGCCACATAGACGAAATCGAACACCCTCTAGACACAGAGGAAGATCCGGTAACCGCAAGCAGTACCATCGCAAACATTCAGTTAACGAGATGACTAACGATACTCAATATGATCATGACGATGAAGCAGAAACCTCAGGTGATGAAATCTTTCACTCAATTGAAGTAGCTAAGGAAGCAACCCAGCAGAACAATGTCATGCACTCAATTGGAGTAACAGAGGCTTATACGATGATCGATATCATATGCCCAAATAAGACAGGGAGTCACTGATTACACCTGAAAATAGACACGGGATCAAGCGGGAACACTCTACCCCTACGTACTCTCAAACAAATGTACAAAGACAACTGGAATGCTGCAATAAAACCAACAACTGCCAGACTACAGTAACTGCCTACAACGGGTCAGATATACAGTGTATAGGGACGATACAGATGTTATGCAGGTATAAAACCTCAGACTGGTCCAAACAGACATTCTATATAGTAGATGTCAATGGCCCAGCCATTGCCGGTCTGCCATTGTGTGAGACACTGAAGGTAGTAACAATCAATGAAATAAAAACAAACAACAGTCCTATTCACTCAGTGAATGATCTAAAACAACTGTACCCACAGCAGTTCGACAAAATAGGAAGCTTCAGAGGCGCAGCAGTTCTACATCTCAAAGAGGACGCAAACCCTTCAATAGATGCTCCTCGAAAATGCAGCGTGCACATCAAGCAGAAAATGAAGAAAGAGCTAGATGAAATAGAAAAACAAGGTATCATTCGAAAGATACATCACACAGACTGGTGCAGTTCCACAACGAGTGTGCTCAAGAAAGACGGATCAATCAGAATATGCATTGATCCTAAACGACTGAACCAAAACCTGAAGAGATGCCCCCACAAATTGCCGACACTAGAGGAGCTAAACCCAGCATTCTCGCAGGCTAAATACTTCTCAAAGCTAGACGCCAAAGCAGGCTATTGGTCTGTCCACCTTGCAAAGAAATCACAGGAACTAACCACGTTCCGAACGCCATTTGGAAGATACTGTTTCCAACGGCTGCCATTCGGTCTATCAGTGAGCCAAGATGTGTTTCAACAACATATGCTGTCGTGTTTCAACAACATATGGATCGAATAATCAATCAGGTGGATGGCTGTGTCTGCATCGCAGACGACATCGCAGTGATCGGTCGCTCCGAGGAAGAGCATGACAGGAATCTACACAACCTTCTAAAGACAGCCAGACGTGAAGGGCTAGTCTTCAACAGTAATAAGTGTACAATAAAAACTGATCATATCAACTTCTTTGGATACATTTACTCCAGAAACGGGATATCTCCTGATCCAAGAAAAATCAAAGATGTTCATGCTATGCCTGTTCCACGATACAAAGACAATCTTCAGAGATGCCTTGGACTATTAAACTTTCTATCGGCATATATCCTGAATTTTTCAGAGAAAGCATCGCCACTGAGATCTTCTGAAAAAAGACACACCATTCTTGTGGCACGAAGATCAGCAACACGCTTTAGACGAGACAAAGAAGGCAATCACAGCAGAAGCTTGCCTGCAGTACTACAATCCAAACAAAGCAACTATCTTAGAAGTAGACGCATCCCAGAAGGGCCTTGGAGCCTGTATTCTACAAGACGGCAAAGCAGTCGCATTTGCATCGAAAAGTCTCTCACCAGCACAAGCAAACTACTCCAACATAGAATGTGAGACACTTGCTCTCGTATTTGGCTTCAACAGATTCCATACATATCTGTTTGGAAAAGAATTCTTGGTGGAAACCGATCATAAGCCATTAGAGATGATCTGGAAAAAGCCACTTACAAGTGCACCTCCACGCCTACAGAGACTACTTATCAAAATACAAGGATATGATTGCACTATCAAATATAAGCCAGGAAGCTCTATGGTATTATCGGACACCCTAAGCAGACTGCCAAACCCAAGCAAAACACAAGATGTACCGATTAAGCTCCAGGTTGACGATATTGAAGACACACTCAATACTGACCTAATGAGCTTTGCAACCAGCAAGCAAGAGGAACTACAAAACGAGACCTCAAACGACCAAGTGTTACAGACACTATGGCAAATTTAATTGCTGGATGGCCAGAGAACATAAAGCAAGTTCCGGAAGACATAAGAGTGTTCTGGCCATACCGAGACGAGATAGGGATCTCCAATGGAGTAATGTTCAAGGGCATACGAGTAATAATCCCAAAGAATCTCCAAACAAACATCCTAGAACAATTGCACCAAGGACACCTAGATGTGTATAAGAGACAG